GCCTTCTTTTTTTTTTTTTTTTCACACTTAGAGAGTGGCTCATTCTGTAAGATTTACTCTCTCCCTTCCCCTCCTCTTTTTCTGTTATGAAAAACTGATGCATCAATGGTATTTAAAAATATAAAATACAAGCAATGACTCAAAAATAAAATATACACACACATACCCATTTTAACAAACCTGCTATTTAAAAAATATGACTAGTCAGATGTTTTCATATATAGACACACATTTACTGACTTTTAATCAAATAGAACTTTTGAGAAATAAATTTACAGAATTTTAAGACTTAATGTTTTATCCCTGAGTTAGAATGTTTACCTCTAGGTAAAGTTTGTGTGGTTACATGATTTGTTCCCTAGGAAACTGCTTACTTATAAATTAAGACAATATTGGGCCATATGCTTTTCAGGTAATTTTCATATAGATTTTATTTTCCTATGTTTGAATGGATTCATGCAATTACACTGTTTTTGTTTTTGTTATTTTTCTCTTCACTATAAAAGAGAAAATTCTACCCACTTTTTCTGCTTAGATTCCTCCCATCAAAAATTAACCCTGACACTTACTCTACCTGTTCAAGAACTTTCCTCCTACAGACATCCTCGCTCCCTTGTGCATCATCAATCTCTTCTTCACTAGTCTGTCATTCTTTCACCTTCCAACTCTAATAAGTCTTGTTGGCAGTCTCGAAAATATTTTATCCCAAATTTGACTCCTTTTTACCGTTTCCATTTCTACCATCCCAGTCAAATTCTTCATAATTTCTAACCTCTAAAGTATTTGGTCCATGTAGAGATTTGTTTTTTAATTGATTGATTGACTTAGTGTTTTGCATTGATTTAGGTTTCAATCTTTGTAGCATATTAATTTCATATGTGTGTATGTGTGTTTTCTGAGCTCTCTGTTCTTTTCAGATTAGTTTATTGATTGAATAACTAATAAGTCAAGTTTTCTATTTTAGTTCACCCTTTTCAAACTTGATTTACCTATGCATAAATTGTTTTTTCATATAGTTATTAGAAATAAAATATTTATTGAGTTTATGAAAACACCCAACTTTGAGTATAGGAACCCAATGTGATTAGGGATACAAAGAATTTATAAATTCATTTGAATAAAATTTACTTTTTATAATATTAACTTGCCCAACTCAAGAGCACAGAATACCTTTTCATTAATTTCTATAATTTCTGTCCTTTATGAAATTTATAAAGTATACTCTACAGCGATTTTTATAATTTTTGCAAACACCTAGAAAATACTATTTTGATTGGTATTTTGTTAGTTGTGGTATTTCTATCTGGTTATTATTGGTATAGACAAATTCTATTGATTTCTATAGACTGTTCTAATATTGAACAACTTTATACCTTCTGTTAATTCTGATAACTTCTTTGTAAATTCTATTGTTTTTTTCTTGGTAGTTGATCACACTTTCTGCATATAATAGGAGGTAACAGAAGTTTGATAACTCCCCTCTTAATTTTACCACTTCTTCATTTATTTTTCTTTCCTTATATTACTGGCCAGGATCTAAAATTTCAGTAGTTAAACAGTAGTGATAACAATGAACATCAAATGGCCCTCTCTCCCCTGTTTTACGAGAACAGATCTACAGTTTCTCCTTTAAGTATAGTGTTTACTCTAGGTGTTTTTTCCGTAAACTGTAGCAAGGTCAGGAAGTTCCCTTCTGTTCTTAATCTTCTGAATATGTTTTGAAGTATGTCATCTCTGAAACGACTGAAATAGTTTTCTGATTTTTTTCTTTTAGTCTACTAATGGAATAAATTTCTTGATAAATTTGCTAATGTTAAAATATTATTGTTTTCTTAGGGTAAATCATACTTAATCATAGTAGATTAATATATTATTGAATTTGGATAGTTAATATTCTATTTAGAAAATTTAAAACTATTTTCATAAGTAAAATGAGTCTATACTTTTGTTAATTATTCTATTGTGGTTTAGGAATCAACAGACAGTTACCCTGTGGGTTCACATTTCAGAATCTGGCTGAATGAAGAGGTCAGCAAATCTTTTCCCCCAAAATGCAACTATAAATCTAAACAAATTGACCAAAATAAGCATTATCACCACTCTGGAGATTAAATAGCAGCCTGTGTCAATCTGACCAGCATTTATGCTTTAAAAACTGCTAAACTTTGGATTAGAACAGTGGGAGTTTGTGATGTTCTTGCTTAAGGAATACATCTTATCTCTGCTGCTTCCTTGTTGAGAAAAATTTATCACAGCAGGGCAGGCTATGGGTGTCAGCAACTGCACTGCCATTGTCGAAAGGGGCTCAGCTAATTTTGGGTCATGAGCTACAATCACACTCAGAGATATTGTCAGTGGAAGTCACGATCTTCACCAACAGTAAGGAGGATGTCCTGAGGTTGCACCATGATTGGGGCAAACATATTTCTGGCTAAATTTTCACACATTGGTGGCAGAGACCAAAGAGACACCAAGCACACATAGTCCTGGTTGAGCATAAGGCTGTGCGTAAGCGCTTAGAAAACACACATACGAAAAGCCCCCAGTGTAAAACAATGCTGAAGTAGACGTAAAAATGGCCTGATCCTTGAATGCCCTCCTCAGTGTACACAGGCCCATCCACAGAGGGTAGAAGCCTCACTGGCTTGAGGTGTTCGTGCTCAAACTGTGTCCAATCATTGGCCTACCACAAGCTGCACTGATACAAGGGGTAAAAACCTAGAAAGCCATGCTTAAGAAAACACAACACAGCTATAAATATTTTTTAGAAGACACATCAACAGTAGCACAATATGGGACAGGAAGAAATCAGATATTTAGCCCAAAGATACAAACAAAAACAAAACAGCAAACATAATCTTTAGGGTAAAATCATAATCCTGAATCACTACAGTATGTTGTACAAAATGTCTAGTTTTCAACAAAAAATATGAAATATGCAAAGTAACGGAGCTGTATGACCCATATTCAGGAGGGGAAAAAAGCCAATGGAAACTGAGTGTCTCCAGGTGTTAGTCAACAGATGGACTTGAAGCAGTTACTTAAAGTGTTCAAATACTAAATAAACCCCAAATAGAAGAATCTTTAAAAAGTGTAACAACAAATAGAGATTTTCAGTGACAAAATATATATTTGTATTAGAACAATGGTTCTAACAACAATTTAAGACTTACAGGTTTCAGCTAAAGCAGGGTACAGATATATATATCAATATGAAAATTCTGGAGTTGACGAGAATAACTTAAGTGAGTTATTCAGTAGAGAGCTCAAAGGCAGCTTTGAGATTGCGTAAAAAGAATAATAAACCTGTAGAAAGATCAATCAAAGCTAACAGTGGAAGAATGGGGAGAAAAAATATTAATGGAAAATGAACAGTCATGGAGTCCTTGAGATAACAAACCTACCAATATAAATACAAATAGAAATAC